TCTATCCCTTTCTCCTCTTCTCTGTAAAAACTCAATAAAATATATATTTAAAAAAAAATTTAGCCAAATTTTGGGAAATGGCTCAGTGGTTGAATGTCGACCTATGAACCAGGAGGTCACAGTTGGGGCACATGCCTGGGTTGCGGGCTCGATCCCCAATGTAGGGTGTGCAGGAGGCAGCCGATCAATGATTCTCTGTCATCATTGATGTTTCTATCTCTCTCTCCCTCTCCCTCTCCTCTCTGAAATCAATAAAATTATATTTTAAAAAATGAGCAAAGGATATAAATACACATTTTGGAAATGTCCCCCTACAAAAGTATATGAAACGTACACACTTAGTTTAAATAACCAATCGAGGTATATCCAAGTAAAGAAATAGAGCATTCCCAGTATTCTGGTTGCCCTTCCTCCCATCCAGAGAGAACCATCATCCCGAATGTTTTGTTCCTTGTCCCTTTTTCTGTCTAGTTTACCATTTGTGTCAGTTCTCTCTTGCTGTAAGCAGGCCACCTCCAAGCTTCGGGGCTTAAACCATCAGCAGGTTATTATTTCTCCCATATTTGTGGGCTGACTGGGCAGTTTCCTCTGTGTGATGTTGAGGTCATTCATGTGACAGCGCTCACCTGGTAGCTGGGCTGGAAGGTCTAAGAAAGCGTCTCACCCCGGAGCCTGGGCGCTGCCCGCAGGGCACTGCAGTGCTGCGTCACGTGGCCTCTGCAGTCAGGGTCTCCTCTGGGGCCCCCGCACGTCCCCTCTCTCCACCAGGAGGGCCTACACACCCCTGACGCAGGGCAGCTGGGTTCCAAGAGAACAAAGCATAATCTTCCAGATCATGCAGGCCAGTCACTGCGCCCTGTCGATCAGAGTCGTCCCAGGGACACTCAGATTCCATGGGAAGCCCATAGCAGCCGACGGCACTGACCGGGAGGGGAGGCACTGTTGGCTGCCTGCCTTGGAGGCTGGTACCCACGCCATCCATGTCCAGATTGCTTAGTTGTGCCTGTTTGAACCACACTGCAGGGGACCCAGGTCCCTCACTTCTTTCCCAAATGAATCCCTTGTGAGGCGGGCCCAGGCCATGTGTCCAGCCAGGCTGAGGGTCACCAGGAGAGCAGTCCAGCGCTGACACTGCGGTCTGGCCCATTAATCTAGGGCAACAACCGAGCGCCTGGCGCTGTCACGGAGAAGGTGCCCGGTTGCAGCCAGGAGTCTGCTGGAAGGTCAGGCCTGTCTCGTGTGCCAGTTGGCGCTTTAGTTTTCGGCATGTGACCCGAGGACTTTGGGTTCAGTGGGCTGTGTGGTCTTGTTCCGTTTCTTTCTGTAGTTCTGAGTTTTTAGGGTCTCACGCAGAAGTAACTTTAAGGCCCACGTTTATCATCCTTTAGGCAAGAGGAAGTAAGGAGGGAGGGACCCCACACTTATGGGTGGGGGATGGGCTGGTGGGAACAGCACTTTGGTCCTGAGAAGCTGATCTCATGACAGAGTTTCAAGTCTCCCAGAGAGTGTGCAGGTAGGCCAGGCAGTCGGCACCTCCCTGCCTGTGGTACCACATGTCCCCCTGGGCAGCCCGTTTTCCTGGACCCGTCCTCTAAGCTTGGCCAGAACCTGGTGGATTCCTGTGGCCGTGAAGGAGGAAACAGGAGACAGTTGGAGTCTCCTTTGCAGTGATCATTCCCGAGCATTTCACATAGGTTGGGAGGGGGGCACTGCCTCATTCCAGCTCAGCTCTCTGAGAAAGGACCAAGCCAGCTGGCCCCTCACCTGCTCAGCACGGCGTCCTGGGGGGAGAGGTGCTGTCTGAGCTTTATAGCCAGCGGTCAGCTGGTGCGGTGAGAGCCAGAAGGCAGCCTGGGGCCTCTGAGCTCCACCTGCCCGGGCCTGGGCGCAGTCATAGCATCCACAAGGACACTGACAGCATTTCTGCGGGTGACAGCATTTAGAGCTGGCAAACCTGCGGGCTGCTCTCACACTCCCTGGGGGCTGATCACAGGATTGGGCTCCTGAGCATATGTTTAAGTGCAGCTTAACTATTTATGGCGCTGCCTTTTTCTTTTTTCCCCTCCTTCCCCTGTGCTTCTCCCTCCTTCCCTCTGTCCTCTCCCCATTTTCTCTTTCTCCCTTTTCTTTCTTAGCTTTGTCAGAACAGATGCTCTGGGGAGTGTTTCTCTGTTGGAACAGCTTTGCAGGCTGCCTCAGGAATTCAGGGGCTCTGGCTTTCTCCTCGACACCCACACTTGGGGAGCGGCCAGTTGTGGGCAGACATCTCGCTTCGGAAGAGTATGGTTGGCATCGGGTGGCAAACATTACTCATGGCACACAGCCGCTCTCCTCCTCTGTGTGGGGGCGGGAGGTGCTGGGCCACCATCCACTCCGTCCCAGGGACCTTCACCTTCCTGCAAGGCCTCTGAAAAGGAGAGCACCCCTCCCTCCCCCCACCTCCACACCCCACCCCCACCGCTCAATATGTCCAGCCCCAGAGGAGCTGGGTTTTGCTGCCCTTCCCTGGAAGCTCTGGGGTAGGTGGCAGCATCAAGGCTTGTCGCAGCCTTGGGTCCCAGGCAAGGCCAGTCAGTCACCGGACCTGTGGGCCGCCGGGCCCCTTTCACCCTGTTGGTCGTGAGTTTCTCACGTCCTTCCCAGCAATCGGGTCCTTTTCCGGCTGGAGGGCCCTGTTTTCTGCAGGCTCCAGCAAGGGCCGGGGACAGCTCTGTACTTCGAGGGGTCCAGCTGATGCTCCCTGGTCGTTTCCGAGCCTGGGAGATACTTCCTCCCAGCTCCGTTTTGGGGTTGGCTCTTGGTGAAGGTGAGGGAGTCAGACCCACCGCCAGGAGGGAAGGGTTTGGACCTGTCTCGCGGGGGCTCATTCTGAAGCTGGGGGAGGATTTGGCCCTTGTGGGCCTACTGGTTCCTCCCTTTCTGCACTTGGGAGGTATTTCACCCGGGGCTCCCGCGGACACGGAGGGTGACTGGTGACTGGGATTCGGGCTGCCCACGCACACATGCACACGCCTGTTTGCTCGTGTGGCTTTTCCACAGCAGAGAGAAGACGCTCTGGGATGATCTGGCCCAGGCCTCTCCTTGCCACCGGCCTTTGGTCCATCGACACTGCCCGGTGTGCACCCCCTTCCGATCCCAGGCCTGCCTGGGTGTTTCACCCCTGGGGTGAACATCAGTTCTTTTCCAGTCACCTCTCTGTTTTAGCTTTTCCCAGCTCAGGAACAGAGCAGCCAGAGTTCTCGCTTACAGTCCTCAGGTCACAAGTGGGAGCAGGAGGTCCTGTGTCAGTGCGGCCTTGCTGCTGGGACTGGTTTGGCTCAGCAGCCGGCTCTACAGCTCGTACCTCACTTCTTGCCGCTGGGCTGGCTTCTGGCTCTTCCCTGCTTACATTTAGGCGCTCTCGTCACAGGCAGTTATGATACTACTGACAGACCCAAGAAGCTGTGCCTCTGTCCGTGAGCTTGTAGGTGGAGGCTGGGACCGAAGGACAGTCCTGGGGATGTTGGAGGGAGGGAGAGCGTTTCCGGGTCCCCGGCAACAGCAACTCTGAACTACAGCTCAGAGGCTGGTGCCCTGTGACACGTGCCTGTGGCTAATGCCACGTTCCCCCTTACTGAATGGAGCCCCGCCCACCTGCCAGGTGACCCCCCTCCCCAGCTCAGCAAGTACATAGCCCCACTTGTGGAAAGTTTGCAGGCATCACGGGGTGGGTGGATTTGCTGGTTAAGCCACGGGTGAAGGAAGGGCTGGGGGTGTGGCTTTGTTATGGCTCATCACAGCCAGACAGCCATACATGGTCACTGCAGCTCCAGGGCTGTGGCCCGTGACTCACCCCAAGAGGCTGATGGGACGGAAACAGCCAGAGCTAGTGGAGGGCGGCTGAGACCTGGGGGCTGAGAGCCCCAAGTGTCACTGTCACCTGCCCAGAAACAGTCTGGGGCAGCTCTGCGTAGACTTAACCCCCGAGAAGAGGTTCCGAAGAGCCGGAAGACAAGCTGCTGCCACTTGTCAGATTCTGGGCCAGGACAGGACAGCCTGCCCTGTCGCTTCTCTGTAATGTGTTCCTAGGAGTGGGCATTGACTTTAGTGTCAAATCGGTTCTTTCTTGAAAGGAGGACCTGCTTATTTTCCCTAGAAAATGCTGCTCTTGAGACTGGCTGGTGTGGTATTTAGGGAGAGGAGAGCGAGTTTAGATACTCACTTAGTCATGGCTGGTGCAGTGCAGGCTCACTTGGCACCAGGCCATGGAATTGCTCTGAGCATTTTTACTGGAGACACTTGTGGGATTTCCAGGCATTAAGTGAGGCCTTTGACAGAGAAACTGCGGCCAGACCAGCAGCTCTTGGGGTCAGGGTCAGAGTTTACTCTCTCTCCAGGGACAGCCTGGGGAGGTTTCTGGAGGCAGAGGACTGCCCAGCTTTCTGTAGTTCCCTGAGCCTGTGAATGAATGAGAGACAGAGGGAGCGGCCAGAGGGAACGGGCAGAGCCCTGTGGGTGCAGCAGGGAAGGGGCGGGTTCCTGAGAGCCGGGGTGATGAAACGTCTGCCTTCCCACACGTTCACCTGGCATGACAGACAGAGAACTTAGAGCAAAGTCGAAGGGTTTTCATAGAGCAGGTGGATCCCCTTGAAACATCTGCCCTTTCTTCTAAGATTTGTAAAAAATGTTAAACTGACCCCGTCTTTTTTTGCAATGCTGACAGTGTTGTGTGTGTGTCTTTTTACTTTTTAAAAAGTCGTTACCTGGCAAGACACAAGGTGGCTATTTCTGGTTGGTCCCTTGATACTTTCTGGGTTTTGAAACTTTCCTGCCAGTAAACCCAGGAATCGCGGAGCCCCGGGTCGCTGGGCTCGCAGAGGGTGTCTGGAGTTGTTTGCCCTCCGTGGACTTGTTGACATTCTCCGTCTCCCACATTTCTCACCTGGGAGTTTCGGGCTCGTGCTGAGGCTGCTTGGCATCCTCTGTCCACACTGACACGAAGGCCCTTTGCCTCTCCCCAGCCATGGATTTCCCTCAGCACAGCCAGCACGTCTTGGAGCAGCTGAACCAGCAGCGGCAGCAGGGGCTTTTGTGTGACTGCACTTTTGTGGTGGACGGTGTTGATTTTAAGGCCCATAAAGCAGTGCTGGCCGCCTGCAGCGAGTACTTCAAGATGCTCTTCGTGGACCAGAAGGATGTGGTGCAACTGGACATCAGTAACGCAGCAGGTACCCTGTTGGGTCCAGGGGCAAGTTTGTTGAGGGCCAGAAGCTCTGGCTGACCATGTGCCCTCCTAACACAGTCCCTGCCCTCCTGGGAGCAATACCTTCAGGCTGTGGGGTGCACCAGGCCTCCCATACAGGACCCATGAGTGTGTGGGTACCAAGTTTCTACCACATTTGGGGGGCCTGTTTAGACTGGGAGCAGGTGGTGAGGGGAGAACTGGCAGGAAGGGCTCACCATGAGCTCCAGGCCAGAGTGAACACAGACAACAGGTGGGCTCTGAGTCCTGAACCCCCAATTCCAGTGCTAACCATGAGGAGGATGGCAAGGGGTGGGGCTGGGGCAGGGGATCAGGAAGGCCTTGGGATTGAAGAAGGAACTGGTCAGATTTGGTCTCCCAACTCAGCATGGCATGATGTGCTATGAGGTCAGGGCAAGGTCATGTTCCCCCATTTTATAGATGCGGAAACTGAGACCCAAAGAGTTCAGGTGACTGGCCTGGAGGTCAGCGAGAGAGTTTGTGGCAGAGCGCCGATGAAAGTCCTTACTATCACTTTGGTTGGATTGCCTTCCGGCGGTGAGGAGTAGCGGCGGGGTAGAGTGTGTCCAGGGTGGGCATTTACACGGTCTGTCCTTCACGCAGGGCAGGTGTTCACACCTTCTATCTTCTGTGCAGAGCAGGCGTTCACACCTTCTGTCTTCTGTGCAAGGCAGGTGTTCACATCCTCTGTCCTCCGTTGAATCCTCTGTGCAGGCTGGGCTTTCCCACCCTCTGTCCTCCGTGTAGGGCGAGTAGTCACACCTCTGTTTTCGGTGTAGGGTGGGCGTTCACACCCTCTGCCCTCTGGTTGTACCCCATTTGGAGGCTGTTATCTGGGCTGAGACTCCCCCAGTTGCTTGCCTCTCTGCCAGCACAGGAGATGGGGAGAGGACGGCCTGTCACCTTGCTCTTTACAATTCCCTGGATCCTGCCGCCGAGTGTCACCTGCTGGTGCCAGGCCTGGAGGCAGGTCTGTGATGGCTGTCTGTGTCCTTGGCAGGCCTGGGGCAGGTACTGGAGTTTATTTACACGGCCAAGCTCAGCCTGAGCTCTGAGAATGTGGACGATGTGCTGGCCGTGGCCAGCTTCCTGCAGATGCAGGACATCATCACGGCCTGCCATGCCCTCAAGTCACTCGCCGAGCCGGCCACCAGCCCTGGGGAGAATATGGAGGCCTTGGCCATGGAAGGTAAGATTGTTGGCAGGCTTTCCTGAGCAGGTGGCTCTTGATGGGGGCTCTGCCTCTGCCTCTTTGTCACCTCTCTGGGTCTCAGTTTCCTCTTCTGGCCTTGCCTGCGTTGTGGGGTGCTGGTGAGGTTTAGCTGCAGTAGAGTCTGAGAAAGGCCTCTTGGAGGCGCCCCTTGCCTACCCTGTCTCCCCTTTCTCCAGCTCCCCTGTGCTTCGCTGCTGAGAACTGGCGGTGGGCCTGGTTCAAGGCCACGCACCTGGCGTGCTCCTCCTGCACGCTCCTCTCTGTGCCCTTCCTCTGTTCCCCTCACTGCCTCAGAAAAGCTCCTGACACCTGGTTTGGGCCAGGTTCCTTGTGAAACACTTTCAGAGAACCCGCTCCTCTCCTTCTAAGCACTGACTCTGGCAGCATTGATATTTCACCTGTGAGGTCTGTGTCCCAGCCGGTCTGTGCGCCCCCCAGAAGCAGCAGCTATGGTTGGTATGTCCAGGCCTGTCGGCAGCCAGGTGCACAGTAGGTGCCTTGTGCATAATTTGTTGAATGAACAAACCAAGAAACCACTACTTAGATGTACCTCCAGGGAGGATCCAGAGGAGCTGGCGAGTTCTGGGAACCCTCACCTCTCCAGGTGGTGGCACTTGATGGGAAACAGAAGGTCTATCTGGTTCCATCTCCAGGAGGGGACAGGAGAGCCAAAGAGAAGGCTGCGGCCACCACGCTGAGTGAGCTGAACCCTGCTGGAGGCAGTCCACCCAGGGGCCCAGGCAGGGAGCCCAAGGAGGAGCGAGGCGGTCAGGCAGAGAGTGCGGCCAGCGGTGAGTTGTGACGCTGAAGCCAACTGTTCCACCATCTCCCTGGGCCCCTGTACAGTGAGGGGCTTCCTCAGGAGGCTCCTGGGGCTGGGAATAGAGTGGCACCCTTGAGCTCAGGTTACCCCGAAGGAACCACTGTTGATCTGGGGTGTCTGGTCCAGCCAGAGCAGAGGCCAAACAGCCTGAGCTTGGATGTGCTGGCCCCACCCCAGACCCCACCCACCCTTGAGCCACAGCCACTACAGGGGCCTGGTCCAGGGAGCCATTCAGTCCCTGGATGGAGTCGATAGGGTCTCAGTCCCGCCTCGCCACCCCAGGTGCAGAGCAGACGGAGAAGGCCGATGCCCCCCGGGAGCCACCGCCAGTAGAGCCCAAGCCCGACCCCACCGGTGGCATGGCTGCTGCTGAAGCCGAGGCCGCCTTGTCGGAGAGCTCAGAGCAAGGTACCGCCACCCAGCCAGGCCCACCCTCACTCGCACACCTCCCTCTCACACAGTTCCCCCAGGTCCCTCTCCTGCTACTACAGCTGATCCCACTCTGAGCCACCCACTCACTTCAGCTTTGGGGCCAACACCTTTTCTCATTCTTGAATTTGGACATCAGTCTCTTGGTTGTGTTACCTGGCTGTGCTTCCCGCTGGTACAGAAGCATTGCTGACACCCAGGGCCGAGCACCAAGGGGAGCCTTGTACCCACATCACACAACCCCGTGCTTGTTGGCTGACGGTGCCCTTGCTGCCCTGCAGCCCGCCAGGGTGCCCATGCCCTGAGGCTGCCTCCATCCTCCAAGCAGCCAGTGTCCTGGTCAGCAGCTCCCCTGGTGCTGCCTTGGCCAGGGCTGGGACCATTTATTGGTGGTGCCCAGACATTGCCAGGCTCTGCCAGGTGCCCATGCAGAGAGAAGTGCCTGTGTCCCGGAGCCAGGTTGGCCTCCTGGCATTTGTCTAACTCTGAGGTCACGTCCCTTTGGGAGCCCCTGTGCCCTCCCTGGCCCCTCAGTGCCTGCCCTTTTCATCTCAGAAATGCAGGTGGAGCCAGCCAGGAAAGGAGAAGAGGGCGAGGAGGACGCCATGCCTTCTGGGGTCAAGGAAGAAGGGCCGCAGCTGGACAAGGGGGATGCCCCCGAGGAGAGTGAGGAGTCGGCCAGCACCGACTCGGGCCAGGAGCTGGGCGCAGAGGCCCGGGGCCTGCGCCCAAGCACCTATGGCGACCGTACCGAGTCCAAGGCCTATGGCTCCATCATCCACAAGTGCGAGGTGCGGCCACGGGTGGCACCACCCGCCCTGCCCAGCCCCATCCTCCGCCCAGCAGCCCCCTCATACCCGATTCCCGCGCCCTGCAGGACTGTGGGAAGGAGTTCACACACACGGGGAACTTCAAGCGGCACATCCGCATCCACACAGGCGAGAAGCCCTTCTCGTGCCGGGAGTGCAGCAAGGCCTTCTCTGATCCAGCCGCCTGCAAGGCCCACGAGAAGACGCACAGGTGCAGTGCCCGGCCTGCTGCTTGTCCCCGCTGGCTCAGCCCTGGTAGGACCCCAGCGACCCCTCCTCTCCCTTCTGACCACCAGCCCGCTGAAGCCCTACGGCTGCGAGGAGTGCGGCAAGAGCTACCGGCTCATCAGCCTGCTGAACCTGCACAAGAAGCGGCACTCCGGCGAGGCGCGCTACCGCTGCGAGGACTGCGGCAAGCTCTTCACCACGTCCGGCAACCTCAAGCGGCACCAGCTGGTGCACAGCGGCGAGAAGCCCTACCAGTGCGACTACTGCGGCCGCTCCTTCTCCGACCCCACCTCCAAGATGCGCCACCTGGAGACTCATGACACTGACAAGGAGCACAAGTGCCCTCATTGTGACAAGAAGTTCAACCAGGTGTGTGGGCACCGCCCGGGGCGCCTCCACCCTGCACACTGAGGGGCGGAGGGGGCCCTCGAAGACACAGGCTTAGTGGGAAAAGTAGGTGCTGAGTAGAGCGTGACCCTCCCCAGGACAGAGCTCTGCCCGAGAAAGTGAGAAGGTGGGTGAAGTCAGGATGGGGTTCAGACCAGAAAGAAGTGGGGTGGGCATGGCTTCCCTCTCACTGCTAGGATCTGGAACATTCCATTGGCCTTAAGCAAAGATGGAGCCATCCACTGGCTCCTGGGAGGACCCAGAATCAGTTGTTCCCTGGCGGAGGGGCTGCGGATGGGGCCCAAGGCCATATTGTGTGGGGTGGCCTTTCTGACCCCTGCCTGGCACAGGTGGGGAATCTGAAGGCCCACCTAAAGATCCACATCGCGGACGGGCCCCTCAAGTGTCGAGAGTGTGGGAAGCAGTTCACCACCTCAGGTAGGGCCAGGCTGCCTGGCTGCCCCACACCCTCCACTCCGCGGCCACCTCCTGATGCCCCACACCAGGCCCCCTGTCTGTCTCCACAGGGAACCTAAAGCGGCACCTTCGGATCCATAGCGGGGAGAAACCCTACGTGTGCAACCACTGCCAGCGGCAGTTCGCTGACCCCGGCGCTCTGCAGCGGCACGTCCGCATCCACACGGGTGGGTGAGCAAGCCCAGCGGTGGGAGCCTGGGAGCTGGGGAGGGCACACGGAAGGAGAAGTTGGCGCTAACATCTTTTGCTGCCCGTCCCCAGGCGAGAAGCCATGCCAGTGCGTGATGTGCGGCAAAGCCTTCACCCAGGCCAGCTCCCTCATCGCCCACGTGCGCCAGCACACTGGGGAGAAGCCCTACGTCTGTGAGCGCTGCGGCAAGAGGTCCTGCCCCACCCATGCCCAGGGTGCTCTGGGGTCCCCACACTTTGCAGGGTGAAGGGGTTCAGGAAACACACTAGGGCTCAGTTGCGAACCGGGCCGACTGCTGCCCGAGCCCAGTCCAGTTGGCCCCTCCAGTCTAGAAAGAGAGGCAGGAGGCCAGCCCAGCTTCCCTGGCCCAGGCTTGGGCAGTTCAGGCCAGTCCCTCCCCTCTGTGGCCCTGCAGATTTGTCCAGTCCAGCCAGTTGGCCAATCACATTCGCCACCATGACAACATCCGCCCCCACAAGTGCAGCGTGTGCAGCAAGGCCTTTGTGAACGTGGGGGACCTATCCAAGCACATCATCATCCACACTGGTGAGTGTGTGCCCGCCTGCCAGTCCGGCCTGTCCCATTCCCTGATCTTGCTAGGGGGAGGGAGGGAGGCACCCCCAGATTGCAGCATGGGTACTGGCACTTGGAACAGGTGGCTTTGAAGGCAGTTCAATTCAAGTGCGGACCCCATTTTCTTAGAGCTTCCAGAAGGTGCAGGGGCCACTGGAGGCTCCTGTGCAGCTCTGGTGGCTGCCCCCGAGCACTTCCTGCTGGAAAATTCAGGGCTGCTGGGGAAGCTGGAGGCCACTGAGGTCCTCCCCCCTCCCCCAATGGCAGGAGAGAACCTTGCCTCCCCCCCCAGGAGAGAAGCCTTACCTCTGTGACAAGTGCGGTCGCGGCTTCAACCGCGTGGACAACCTTCGTTCCCATGTGAAGACCGTGCACCAGGGCAAGGCAGGCATCAAAATCCTGGAGCCAGAGGAGGGTGGTGAGGTCAGCGTAGTCACTGTGGATGACATGGTTACGCTGGCCACCGAGGCACTGGCGGCAACAGCCGTCACTCAGCTCACAGGTGCGGGCTGTGGGCAGCAGCGGGTGGTCACAAGCAGCTTGCCTCTGGGGTGGCAATGAAGGGGCAGGTGCCTCTGGCCTTAGGCCCTGCTGATTCTGCCCACAGTGGTACCAGTGGGGGCTGCAGTGACTGCTGACGAGACGGAAGTGCTTAAAGCCGAGATCAGCAAAGCTGTGAAGCAAGTACAGGAAGAAGGTGAGTGAGAAGGGCTGACCAGGGGTGAAAGCTGGTGGAGCTCAAGGGTCCTTCGCATCCTGACTGTGACCCCCACCTCCCACAGACCCCAACACCCATATCCTCTATGCCTGTGACTCCTGTGGGGACAAGTTCCTGGATGCCAACAGCCTGGCCCAGCATGTGCGGATCCACACAGCACAGGCACTGGTTATGTTCCAGACGGACGCGGACTTCTATCAGCAGTACGGGTCAGGCAGCACGTGGCCAGCCGGGCAGGTGTTGCAGACTGGGGAACTGGTCTTCCGCCCTCGGGATGGGGCTGACAGCCAGCCTGCTCTGGCAGAGACACCCCACACAGCCCCAGAATGTCCACCGCCTGCTGAGTGAGCAGGCATCCCTTCTCCTGACTGTTTATTTAAGGATGGGCGGCCCCATTCCCTAGAGAGAATAAATTTGATTATTTTCTAATGCTGCCTACAGCTCCCTGTGGGGGTGGGGTGGGGAGCTGGCAGCTGTGGCGGATGCCCCAAAGGGCTGCTCTACCCAAGAACCAGTCGGCACAGACCTGCTTCTTGGGAAAGCCAGGCTGTCCCTTCTGCGGAATGGGACTGGAGCCCTGGGACCTGTTTAGAAGCACGCTGGCTGCTTTGCCCAAGTCAGGGTGCGGGGCTCCATGCACCCCATCCCCTCAACCAATCTTCTCTTTGGAAGCTTCTCACCTGTTCACCATGAGGATCCCAACTCTCTTCTCTGCCATGGAGCTGCTCCCCCTCTGCCTGGGGGTTGGGAGCTGGGCCAGCAGAGGCTGGCCACACTACTTACCAGGATCCAGGCAACCCAGAGAGCCCAGCTCAGGTGCCATTCAGCCAGAGCAACAAGGTAGGCAGAGAGAACCAGGCCCAACAGGGCAAAACCCCGTTTTGTTGGGTTTGGGGAAGCAGAAGGGCTCTACACTGACTTCACAGTAACCTTGGCCTGAGGATCATGGCCAAGCCAGTACCATCTTTTGGGAACATTTACTTGCCTTGAATCAATAGAGTCTCTCCCACCAGGTGAGGGCCTGGAGGGACAATGAGCAGCTAGGAGCTTTGATGGGGAGATGGGAGACACAGCACTGCTTCAACTAAGAGCAGAAGCAGAGGCTGGGGGTGGGGGGGTGGGGGGAAGGGAAACGTGAGATGCCGTCTCTGCCCTTTCCATACAATTTCCCCCCACCAGCTGTCATCCCTTACTCAGAGATAGTAGCTTCTTGCATCAAAAGCATAGGTCTTTGGAGGAGCCCCATGGATATTGCAAGTGAGACACCAACACTGCGTTCCGTGTTCCCGTCCCTGCCTGCCCAATTCCTCAGCTTGTACTTCCAGCTGCAGGGGAAGCCTGGCCCACCACCCCATCTTCCTGTCAGGAATACTGTTCCACCAGGCTGCCAGGCTGTGCCACTGCTGCTGCAGGGCTGGCCTGCACCACACCCAGAGGGAGGAAGGGTGAAGAGTCAAGACACCAAAGCTTGCTCAAGATGTTTGAGTGTGCATGGCGGTGGTTTTACCTGTAGTGCCTTCCACATTATCCAGAACCAATCAGAGCCTTGAAGTATCACAGGTCTTTACAGCACCACAGCACTGAGAAAAGTTAGGTCTGTGACAAAGATCTGTTTTATACAAGATAAAATGATCCTTGGGGGGTTTAAGTGGTAGATCGGAAATAGGTTCCCTATACAGACTGAAAGAAGGCAAAAGTGGGGATGAGGGCTAGCTACTCCCATAAGCCAAGGACATTTACTTGGTCCTCCCACCCTAGTGACAATTACATCCACACTTGACATGTTTTGTATTTTTTAATAAAGTTTGTAATCCAATGGACACACAAAACAAAACTGTGCTGAGAAAAACAGTTTCATAAATTAATAGGTGTTAGGAAGTTGTGGGGAGAGGTCAAGGTCACATAAGAAGAGGGAAGCCAGTCTTTCTGCAGTGTGTGTGTGTTTGTGTGTGTGTGGTGTGTGTGTGAGAGAGAGACACACACACACACTTTCAGATCACAGGGGCAGGGCCCGGCTGTAACGAAGCGCACTTATACAAATGAGTGACAATACAAAGTCTGAGTATGAAAATAAGATTTTCTCTTAAAACACATTTTTGGCACAGATTAAAAAAAATGTATGTCAGGGGGATTTGATTTTTTAAGTCAGTATTATATATATTTATATATATTATATATTTATATATACACACATCCCAAGTTCTGCATATCCCACCGACAGAAAATCCTTCCGTTTGCTCTGTTTCGATTGTAAGCTGTACATCCTGGGTGAATCAGATGGTGGTGGCAAGAGAATTAAGAAAGATGACAGCCAGATGAGCAAGGAGAAGGGAGGAGATGGGGACAAACCCAATGAAATGTTCCTTGACCCCAAGGTTTCAGCAGCAGTTTGAAGTCCTGCGTTGAGTCTGTGACGTGTGTTCACATACACCAAGATGTCCAGAGTGCCACAGCCTGTCTTCACTATGCAAAAGTCCAAGTCACTAATTTAGTGCAAAGGCAGTTCTGTTTTCTTGTTTCTTAAAAACAAAAACAAAAAAATTTAATTCCACTGCCCTGTTCCTTTTCTCCAAAAAGAGGAGAAACCCAGCCCCAAGGTGTCTGCAAGTCCATCGGTTGGTGGTCTGTCCTTGGGCTAAATGTCTTGTAAACATACATAGTAGCAGCACCACTGCCCAGAAGGGTCTGTCCGCCTGAGCTGGGCCGGCAGGCCAGGAGGGCAAGGCTGGCCGTCTGGCAGTGGAGTCTGTCCCCTTCGGCAGCTTCTTCCTCCACTTGGCTGGGTTGTCCTGTGTGTGTTTTTGCTGCAGAGCCTCGGGAAAATACACTGAGTCGTTGACTGACCAGTGGCTCACACAGAGGCAATGACAATCATGAGGTGGGGAGAAATGTTGGAAATGCTGGCCAGAAGGTCAGGGGCCAGACGGGACAGGTGACTCTCCGAGAACTCGCAGGGTGGGAAGATCTGCAGCACGTAGGCAGGCTGGAGAAGAGGACAAGAGCATAAGTGGGACCCCGTCTTCACATCAACCCCACTGCCATTCCTCTGAACAGGCCCAACGCAGAGAGCCAGGTTGAGTCAGTTCCCCAACCAGCTAAGTCTCCGTGGCTTTGTCAGAAAACTAACATGAACTAATTTCCTGCGACCCCCTTCTATATCATTAGGCTAAAGACAAACCTGCTGTATCAGCTGTCCCTTGATTGTCTCCAGGATGGGCAATGGTGGCCCCACCCAGACACTGCTTATTTCCTCTACCCAGAATGCCCTTTGCCCACCTCTAAGAAACTCCTGAACTGCTCTGGCTGCACTAGTGGGCCATGCCACCAGATCAATCAAATTGCATGACCACCCCCACCTGTGTGCACCGAGGAAGGACACTGGGCAGGGAGCTGACCTGATTGGAGCCAGGGTTAGGAACATTGATGATCCCTGCCGCCTGCTTGGCCTGTAGATAGGTGATGAAGGCAGCCTTGAGGGGATTCGGTCTGGCTCACGACATCCTCTTGGTCACGGCCACAGGGCAGAGCCAGCAGCAGACAAATATTCTTGACTCCACCTGGGACAGAGGCAACTGTCAGGGGGCCTCCTCACGACACACAGAGGGCCTGTCCAAACCCAGGGGTTTGGCTCCTATGTCCACAAAAAGCTCCCCACCTCTGAAATGACCCTGAAAGTCCACCCCCTAAAATTTTGTTGAATGAAAAAAAAAAAAGCCTTGTTTTATGTCTAGAGGCATTTTACACTCTGAGGAGAAAGAAACATGCCCAGCGCCATCTGCACTAAGAATGCCATTGCTGTAGCCCATAACAAAGGGGATAGGCAGCTGCTCACCTGGGCCCCATCTTACCGTCATCCCTTCGGGTAACCCCCTTCCAGCTGTGAGGCCTCCAGCCGCATCCTCTGGGCTATCCTCAGTGGGGGGGCCTCC